TAGAGAACAGGCAAGATGGAACAGCAGGAGAAAAGTGTCAGGAGTGATCTGTGATAGAAGAGTGTCAGCTAAGGTGAAGGGAAAGGTTTACAGGACGGTGGTGAGACCAGCCATGATGTATGGTTTAGAGACGGTAACAATAGGCAGAAGACAGGAGGCGGAGCTGGAGGTGGCAGAGTTATAGATGCTAAGATTCTCTCTAGGAGTGACAAGAATGGACAGGATCACGAATGAGGTCATTAGAGGGACAACACAGACAGGAAGGTTTGGAGAAAAAGCTAGAGAAGCCAGATTACGATGGTTTGGACATGTGCAGAGGAGGGACAGTGGATACATTTGTAGAAGAATGTTAGAGATGGAGCTACCAGGTAGGAGAAAGAGAGGAAGGCCAGAGAGGAGATATATGGATACAGTGAGGGAGGATATGCAGATAGTTGAAGTCAGAGTAGAAGATACAGAGAACAGGGAGAGATGGAAATCAATGATTCGCTGAGGCAACCCCTGAAAAAGGGACAAAGCCGAAAGAAAAAGAAGAAGAAGCTACATAATAACACATGTTATTCTAGATACATAATCTTTACAATTAAATACTATTAGCGTAATCTTCCAAGTACATAAACTTGTAGCGAAATAGTACCTTCAACACTAGAACACCTCTATCTGTGTTAAACTTAAACTTATCTTTATTTGTCATTGTGACACAGCACAGCACAGCACACCATGCACAACGAAATTTGTGCATGGATTTCTGCATTTAACCCATCACCAAAGTGAACAGTGGGCAGCCATGGTCGGCGCCCGGGGAGCAGTGCTTGAGGACGATGCCATGCATCTCAGTGGCAACCTGGCAGTTGGTGGATTCGAACCTGGGGCCTTCCGGACCGAAGTCCGCCTCCTTCACCACTAGGCCACCACTGCCTGTGGTCCATGGTGTGCACTGTCCACACATATTTGGATTCCTCCCTTAACCTGTTCGTCAGGAAGTTTCTATTACAGCATTAAAATTGTTTTAAAACTTTTTTTCCTGTCTTAAAAACATATTTGTGCAAATTATTCTATATATTACTGCCAATTCCTCAGAATCTTCCTGTTGTAGGCATCCTCATTTCCCATTGGGTCAATTACAGTGAGGAACTCTGCCGTGTTCGTAACCTTAAGTAAAGTAATTTCATATCAATAAACAGCCTGTATAAGGACTCCCTTTACTATGCTTTATGGTTACTCTACAGAGTCTTGCACAGCCCGCTTAACCGACCACAAGAATCCAATGTGCAGTAACATTCACAGGACACAGCCAAACACTCTCTGCTGGGAACTTCATCTGTAACAGATAATATAGAAATATGTACGTTAATAAAGATGAGTTAGGACCCTACATCAAAAGAAAAGACTTACTTTCTTAATAGGTACATCACCTTATGGAGACTTTTAAACTGCCTATTAAAGAAGAGGGAGTTTGCCACAATGGCATTAAGATAAAATATGGCTTCCTGATAAAATGATCAATATATTTGTTAGTGCAAAAGTACATCCATAGACCATGTCAAGTAATTTCCATTTAAAAGTAACATACCTTGTGGGTGATAGGGTGTGTCTCAGCCCACCTCTTCTGTTGAGTGGTGTTTTTTCCAGGTTGACATTGACCTTGAGGTGTATGTGAACAGTTGAGTCCTGTCCTGAGGAGTTGCTCCCCCACCCCCCTTTCACTAACAGAACTCTTCAACTTTGACCATGACCTGGTGACTGATAATCTTCATAGACAGAAGTTTAAAATGTTTATGTGCATTGCTATATAACCTTCAGCCCTAATTCATCCAATGTAAGATATTTTAGAATGAAAGATCAACAGTGATCACCTGACTTTTTTCTATTAAATTAAGTATTTCTCTCAGAGAAAAAAGCAACTCTGATATAATTTCACAACATTCATAAAATGGTTAGGAAATTATGTCAAATTTGCCCTTTTCTCTGTTTTTTTTGTGTGTGTAGTTCCAATGCACACAGAAAATAAACTGAATATATACCTACAAAAACATGTGTAGCAATCAATAGCTCAATGGAAGAAATACTTATTTTCATGGAAAAACGTCAGGTCCAAGTCTGTAGGCCAATATCAGAGACTTGTAAACGAGTGTATGAAATACTGTAAACTCTGCGCTAATTTAGTAAGATACTGTTTTAAAACAGCTGGAAAATTACAGCACTATTAGACATTCGGATTTCATACTCATAAGTTTGCAGGCTACATGAGCAAGTTTTATGACTATGGAAATTACGCAAATTTAGTAAGGAACTGTTTTAAAACAGCTGGAAAATTCGAAGGCTACATGAACAAGTTTTATGACTTCAGGAAAATTAGGATAATTCACCGTATTAGCTATTCAAACTGCATTTAGACACGATCTTATGCAAGTTGAAATAGTTTGACTGTCAAACCGATGCATTGCATACTGGTCAAATAAAGTATTAAAAATACAAGAAACTAACCTGATGGCTGCAGGATATGATGTATGGTGGCTGTCAAAAACATCATCGTGCTTCTTCCTTATAGCGTATGAGAGCGTTTTCATGGAAACAGATGCCCCTAAAGTACTGCAAAACAGTTGCGGACATCGGATATTGCTTTGCACGGATCCGTGACACAATTTCAGTTATTGAACGCATGAGACTGGAGTTTGGCATTTTCTATGAGAAGTATGAGCAGAAGTGGCAGCAAACAGTCAGTCAGAGATGAGAAGAAAAGACTGTATTATAACATCCTGGACAATGTCAGTGTTCAAATGAAAGCTCGGTTTGACGACTTTGGTGAACTAGCTTTCCTTGGCTTGTTCGACAAGTTTCATGAAATGTCACAACATTTTGATGACACCAATCTGCAGAGCCTGTCAAAGTATGCAAGATTCTTTAGTCGACTTTGTAAGACTAAAGGCGGATCTTGTTGTGCTGTACAGCTCGCAAGCAGTAAGGAATGTATGCCAATCACCTGGACAGCTTCTCAGCTTTTTGGCCAAGAAGGATCTAATCCAGACTGTTCCAGAGGCGACAATGTTACTCCAGCTGGCTCTGAACTCGCTCAACTAGCTACAACAGCATCAGTGGAGAGGTCATTTTCTGCATTAAAAAGACTGAAAACATACAGTAGGAACAGAACTGATCAAGGATCTTTCTGCTTCGGCCATAATCTTCATTGAGACGGGGAGACTCTAAAAGAAAATAAGGATAGGCTTTTACAACCAAGTCATAGAGCTTTTCATGGAGAAGGCTAAAAATAGTTTTTGTTTTTTAAAAATAAGATGGAAGTAGAAAAAAGTAAAGTATTTGATAGCTAAAATTTTGACCTAAAACATTTTTTTCTTATCATTTTGATGGACAACCTTTGATTAAAGCACTAGAATTTAGTGCTTTAAGTTTGAAAAATAACTTAAATTCTTACTGAAAGTAAATATTAAATTTGTGCTGCAAAATATAAATATGAATTGCTTAGACACAAGAAGTGTGCTTATCCATTTCCTGCTGTAACACTACGCAAGGGGAGGAAGCATTCTGCATCTATGCCCTGCACCTCTGGAACAACCTGCACAACACCATAAAACTGGCAACACCCAGTGACCATGTTTAAAAACAGGTTAAAAACCTTTCTTTTTACAACTAGATTTGATTAAGCTCCCTATTCCCAGCCATAACCCTACATATGTTATATTTTTTGTTTCTATTTGTTAACGGTCAGGGGTCCACCAGAGTTCAGCAGTCTCACAGCTTCAATCAGACAGCTCAGATGTAGTGCTGAGCAGTCGTGTGTGAACAGGGTGAATAGAAAGGGGCTCAGCACGTAGCCCTGGGGGGATCCGGTGACGAGCATGACGGAGGAGGAGACGGCCTATCTGTCAGAAAATCCAGGACCCAGTTGCAGAGGGTGGAGCTCGGTCAAAGGGTGTTGAGTTTCTGTATCAGGGTCTGCAGTCTGATTGTGTTAAATTCTGATGTGAAGTCCACAAAGAGCAGGCGTACATAGGAGTCCTTCTCTTCTAAGTGAGTGAGGGCTCTGTGAACTATAGAGGAGATGGCGTCCTCTGTGGATCCATTGTTCCTGTATGCATACAGATACGGGTCCTCAGTGACGATGGAGTTCTTAATGCGGGCCACGACCAGTCTTTCGAAGCACTTCACGACTATCTGTGGGAGGGCTACTCGCCGATAGTCATTCAGGCCTGTCACTGTGGATGCTTTGGGAACAGGAATGATTGTTGCAGTCTTCAGACAGGTGGGGACTGTCGCCTGTTGGAGTGAGGTATTGAATAGGTCTGTCAGTACCTCCCAGCAGCAGCCACTCAGGGATGTTGTAGGGACCAGCAGCTTTGCGTGGGATAATCCTCTGGAGGGTCCTCCTCACCTCTGCTATGGTCACACTGAGTGGCTCTTCTTCTGGTGGAGGGGTGAGCCTGGTTCTGGGGGATGTGGGTGTGCTTTCAGAGAGGGGTCCCTGGGGAATTTCAGGTGATGGTTACATCCTCTGCATACTTACCGGTGTATCAAAGGACAGCAGCTGCACACGTATAAATATTTTAAATATGGAAAATGACTGTGTTAAAATCAATTTAAATACCTTTGTTGGTAGCTATAACAAAAAAAAAAAGATCATGCTGTGAACACTTAACTATCTATAGAAACACACCAGAGTTTAGGATATTATTATCCAAAACAACTTAATGCATAAATCCGAAACACTTGACCAGATTTGCATTAACTTAAAGCCAATACAAATTGGAATGAACTGAAGACCACGGTGTTGCCAGAAGACCAACAAATAGAAGCTAAGACCTTTCACAATCAATACTTGACTTAACCAGGGAGCAAACACTAGGTTTTCCCACAGTATGCAAATAAAGATACTGTAGTCTTTAACCAAAGATTGTCATTAAATATTGTCCAACATTCTATACACATTTCAGCACATACTTTTGTCCTTAACCATGTATACAACATAAATAAGTTAGAAACTGTTAGTTAAAAAGTGGCATCTTTATTCATTTTACAATTTCAAAGAGTGACGACTACAGCATGGTGCACAAACAAGTACAGAGCACAGATAATGCAGGGTCAATGAGACAAAATAATCAGTTTGTCAAATAATCACTCACTTCAAGTTACCATTTGTGAAGAATTAGTTACACGAGTCAGCTTATTTGTTACACAAATTATATCCTTAAAAATAATTCAGTGTCCTGTACCAGGCTTGTACAAGCATCGCAACTTAGAACATCCCAAAAAACTGTAATCTTTCAGGGTAAAATTTACATTTCTTTTTAATAAAAATAAATGGTTCAAAATGGACATTTTACATTCTCTATGTTGCACAACTTGTATTTTTGTACAACACTGTGTAAAGGGATTGATTAAAAAATGCAGGAACCTTGTCAACATGCATGCTCACCCACAGGACAGATTTTTAAGTCACAAATGTAGACATTATGGAGGAAAACAAGCAAAAGAATGACATTTTCTCTTTTTCTAGACCATAACAGATGTGTTAAGCCTCTTACAAACTGATAGACGACACTCTTAAAAATGCAGGACATCTACATTTTAAATGCACAGGAATGTTAGATATTTTCCAATAAAACAAAATTACAAAAATAAAGTTAAACTAAAAAATAAGAAAAACACCCATGAACCAGAAAAAAAAAGATTTGAAGTGAATGAGTCACACTGAGGTGGAAAGGTTTGAGATAATGAGGGTGATCTGGGTCTACTTCAGTCAGAGTCTCCTGGGTCTACAGCAAATGACCAGAGTACTGCTTCACACTGAAAGTACAAGAGTGGGAAACATATAAACACACAACCAAAAAATTCACAAGTCAGTGTTGGAGCTTTCCATCAATAAATTAATAAGGGAGCAGAGCAGGGAGAGCGTAAATTAAGACTTAGAAGAGTAAATACTTAATATTAGTTGGAATAAAAGGGAAAAAAGCACAATCATATCCAAGCAGTAAGAGCTCAAGATAGGGAGGTGAATGAGTGGGTAACATGACACTATCAATGTGACAGTGGGGACAGAGAGAGACAGATACATTAGCATATAGGTTAACCTCTGATAGCATCAAAGTGGTAGTAGTGTGGATTATACGTGTCTACTGGTAGCCGAGGAGGACAGAAGAGGAGAAGCCTGTGCTGTTTGGCAGACTGTGATTTGTTGTCGGTTGATCTAACAAAAAACAACAAAATCACTAGTCTTCCACACAGCAACAGCCAAGAGACACAATAAAATAAAAAAAAAAAGAAATAAAATCAATCCACTCCATACTTCACAGGGAAGTGGCTTAGATGGAAAAGAGGCCCTTTTTAAAAAACATGTATGCACTTGTAGAAAGTGAGCCAAAGAAAATTGCCAATCACATTGTCACATGGAAACAAAGGTAATAACTGCATTTGCCTTCTTCATCATAGCCATTTCATGCAAGAGATAGGTTTGGAACAAGTTTCAGGTTGGATGGGGAGAGAGGAAGGGGTTAGTCAAGAAAACACAACAGCAGGCAGTAGAAATGTTGTACTCATCAGGATTTGGCTAAGTATAAGGATGTAATATGTCAGATATTGACTCCTGAACTATCGCTACTCCTAAATCAAAAGTAAGAAAATAGAGAAACAATATGAGATTTTATTTTAAACTTTAATGAGAAATCATATTCAGCTGAACAGGGAACAGAGCCAATAGTTTTAACATGTTTTAAATGGAATAAAAAAAGCTGTTAAAGTGATTTAATCAATAGGTGTTACATATACATATATACCTATACACATATACATAAATATACAGTGGGTACGTAAAGTATTCAGACCCCTTTAAATTTGTCACTTTGTTTCATTGCAGCCATTTGCTAAAATCAATAAAGTTCATTTTATTTCTCATTAATGTACACTCAGCACCCCATCTTGACAGAAATGTAGACATTTTTGCAAATTTATTAAAAAAGAAAAACAAATATCACATGGTTATAAGTATTCAGACCCTTTGCTCAGTATTGAGTAGAAGCACCCTTCTACCAGTCAGGTTGGATGGTGAAAGTTGGTGGACAGCCATTTTCAGGTCTCTCCAGAGATGCTCAATTGGGTTTAGGTCAGGGCTCTGGCTGGGCCAGTCAAGAATGGTCACAGAGTTGTTCCGAAGCCACTTTGTTATTTTAGCTGTGTGCTTAGGGTCATTGTCTTGTTGGAAGGTCTGAGGTCCTGAGCACTCTGGAAGAGGTTTTCTTCCAGGATATCTCTGTACTTGGCCGCATTCATCTTTCGTTCAATTGCAATCATTCGTCCTGTCCCTGCAGCTGAAAAACACCCCCACAGCATGATGCTGCCACCACCATGTTTCACTGTTGGGATTGTATTGGGCAGGTGATGAGCAGTGCCTGGTTTTCTCCACACATACCGCTTAGAATGAATGCCAAAAAGTTCAATCTTCGTCTCATCAGACCAGAGAATCCTATTTCTCATAATCTGGGAGTCCTTCATGTGTTTTTTGGCAAACTCTAAGCGGGCTTTCATGTGTCTTGCACTGAGGAGAGGCTTCCGTCGGGCCGTAAAGCCCCGACTGGTGGAGGGCTGCAGTGATAGTTGACTTTGTGGAACTTTCTCCCATCTCCTCACTGCATCTCTGGAGCTCAGCCACAGTGATCTTTGGGTTCTTCTTTACCTCTCTCACCATAGCTTTTCTCCCACGATTGCTCAGTTTGGCTGGACGGCCAGGTCTAGGTTCTGGTCGTCCCAAACTTCTTCCATTTAAAGATTATGGAGGCCACTGTGCTCTTAGGAACCTTGAGTGCTGCAGAAATTATTTTATAACCTTGGCCAGATCTGTGCCTTGCCACAATTCTGTATCTGAGCTCCTTGGGCAGTTCCTTCAACCTCATGTTTCTCATTTGCTCTGACATGCACTGTGAGTTGTAAGGTCTTATATAGACAGGTGTGTGCCTTTCCTAATCAAGTCCAATCAGTTTAATTAAACACAGCTGGACTCCAATGAAGGTGTAGAACCATCTCAAGGATGATCAGAAGAAATGGACAGCACCTGAGTTAAATATGAGTGTCACAGCAAAGGGTTTGAATACTTGTGACCATGACCATGTGGTATTTCAGTTTTTCTTTTTTAATAAATTTGCAAAAATGTCTACATTTCTGTCAAGATGGGGTGCTGAGTGTACATTAATGAGAAATAAAATGAACTTTATTGATTTTAGCAAATGGCTGCAATGAAACAAAGAGTGACAAATTTAAAGGGGTCTGAATACTTTCCGTACCCACTGTATACATATATACAGTTTAGTTGCATAATAATTCTGCACACTAATAGTTGCCTAATAAAGGTGTACATGTAGATATTCTCTTAAGAAAGCCAAAACTTCACTTTTACTACTTCAATGTTCAGGTTTGAGGGTATGTTAACATTTTGGATTGATATAATTGTGCACACAGTGTGTGTGTGTGTGTGTATATATAAGGGAAGACATATACATATATACACACACACATACACTATGGCATGCCGTTCAGGAAATTAATCTTTGAATATATATACAAAAAGTCTGAATATATATATACAAAAAGTCTGAATATATATATACAAAAAGTCTGAATATATATATACAAAAAGTCTGAATATATATACAAAAATCCTGACTATATATACAGAAAGTATGAATATATGTACAAAAAGTCTGAATATATATACAAAAATCCTGACTATATATACAGAAAGTATGAATATATGTACAAAAAGTCTGAATATATATACAAAAATCCCGAATATATATACAAAAATATTAAGCGTATTTGACCACACTGTCTGTACCGGTGCGCAGCTAAGCCTGCTACCACAGACCAGGCAGCACAGGAGATGTCATGGTTATATTTGTAACCCAAGTATTAAAACAGAAAACAGTGAATGCTGTGTAATAGAAAATGTAATAAATACGTTAAAGAGAATAAGAACAGATTACAGTCATACAATCGTTAACGATCTAAGCTCACTGAATCACTGGGGGATTCAGAGTAACGTAATGATAATATAAGGGTGATAAAAAAATGTTATAATTCGTTATAAATACTTGTTTGGAAATATATATTATTTCTATATGTTATTATTTGATAACGCTGTCCATTGTGCTGACGATCATAGCGTATGTCTCCCAGAAAGGAAAAGAGCAACAGTAATGCAAAGAGTGATTTATGTTATGTTTGTTAACTTTTATTTGAAGATATTTTGTTTGATAGCTGTCATATGACGTAGTGTACTGTGTTGTCTTTAAAATATTGATTTGTTCACAGATTCCTTGTCGACCCGTGGAAAATGTGTTGTTCTGTACCGGATTATTCATTCTTTCTTCCGCATTGCGAGTGAAGCGTGGTCCGTAAAAAAAAAAGAAAAAAGAGCGAAAATGGGAGAAGGGAAGCAGTGAAGATTTAACAAATAAAGACATTTATACCGAAGCTGCTGTTATTTTTTGAAATACTTTTTACGCCTTGCTATGTGGGCACAAGATACAGGAGCCTTGCCCGCGATGGAAGCAGGCGTAGCTCCGCCCCGATAAGGGTGGTGTGGTCTTATATGCTTCGAATTTCTGTATATATACAGTATATATTCAGACTTTGTGCAGAAAGTCTGAATATATATACAAAAATCCTGAATATATATACAAAAATCCTGACTATATATACAAAAATATGAAGCGTATTTGACCACACTGTCCATATCGGTGCGCAGCTATGCCTGCACAACCCGCCAGGCTCCTGTATCTTGTGCTCACGTAGCGGGACGTATAAAGTATGTATGTAAATAAATAAATAAATAACATCAAAACGACACAAGCAGCTTCTATATGAATGTCTTTCTTTATTCATTCTTCGTTACTTCTTATACTTTTTTTACGGATCACGCTTCACTCGTGGAAGTAAGCATGAACAATTGAACACAAATTAATAGTTTAAAGAGAACACACTACACTGCATCATATGACAGCTTTCAAATAAAATATCTTCTAATAAGATAAACAAATCTTTGCTGTGTAATAGAACATGTAATAAATACGTTTAAGAGAATAACAACAGATTACAGTCATAAAATGTTTACCGATCTAAGCTCGCTATTGTGAGGGTTTCAGAGTAGCTACTCTGAAATATAAGATATAATATATCTTAATATAAGTAGTAATCTTAATATAAGGATGATAAAAGGTTATAATTCGTTGTAAATACTTGTTTGGAAATATATTATTATAATATAATATAATATTTCTACATATTATTGGATAACGCTTTCCAGTGTGCTTACGATCGATAATTTGCGTCAAGGAAACGAGCGAGAGTAATGCAAACGAGCGAGAGTAATGCAAAGATTTTTGTGTATGTATATTTGTTTACCTTAGAAGATATTTTATTTGATATGACACAGTATAGTGTGTTGTCTTTAAACTATTAATTTGTATTCGATTGTTCACTTCCGCAAGTGAAGCGTGGTCCGTAAAAAGAGTATAAGAAGTATCGAAGAGTGAATAAAGAAAGACGTTCATATAGAAGCTGCTTGTGTCGCTTTGATGTTTGTAATGATATTATTATTATTATTATTATTTTACATACTGGGCACAAGATACAGGAGCCTGGCAGGTTGTGCAGGCGTAGCTGCGCACCGATACAGACAGTCCTGTCAAATACGCTTCATATTTTTGTATATATATTCAGACTTTTTGTATATACATTAAAATATTAATTTCCTGAACGGCATGCCATAATATACACATACACGCATATATAGACATACACGCATATACACATACACACACACACACACACACACAAACACACACATTATGGCATGCTGGTCAGGAAATTAATCTTTGAATATATATATACAAAAAGTCTGAATATATATACAAAAATCCTGAATATACATACAGAAAGTCTGGATATATATACAAGAAGTCTGAATATATACAGTGGTATGAAAAAGTTTGGGCACCCCTGATCATTTTCCTTTATGGATCATTGGTTGTTTGGAACATCAATTTCATTTAAATATATCATATAGCAAAAAAACACAGTGATATTTAAGAAGTGAAATTAAGTTTATAGGATTTACAGAAAGTGTGCAATAATTACTTAAACAAAAGTAGGCAGGTGCATAAATTTGGGCACCC